CTGCAATCATGGTTGTAGCACCTGAACGCCATTCCATCTTTGTTGCGGGTGTATGGCTTGCATACCATGTCAACAGAGCACGTTGGACATGCAACCACTCGCTTCAACACTCCTCTAACTCTGAGGAACTCCACGAGACCCGCAACAGGCCCATTCATAACAGGTTCCAGCACATTCTGGTAGTAGCTAAACATAAGGGTAAAAACCTACTAAATATAAAGGGTGGATTTTTACCTTAAAATTTCTAAGGTCCCTTTTTTTCCCCACGTGGGGAAAAAAAAGGACATGATCCGATTTTTGAGTTGGCTTGTGATGAGGTGTGCTAAGCTTGGGTGTATTCGATGTCTTTGGATAAATTTTCTTATTTTTAGTGTGATTGTAAATAAGAATACACGTTATTATATAAGTGCTCACAACACACACCATTATCAACACAAATAGATAAGACCGCTTATGTTTTTGAAGTTTATCCAGCATATTACGAGGGTAAAATTTATCGATAGATATGAAATGAAAATATTTTAATGGATGGTGATGTAGTTTTAGTCTATGATATAGTAGGTGCACTTAGGTGGATTGATAACTGTCACACATGACATTGTTTACTTACAGGTTGATATGTTGATAAACAAAGGTATAAGAGTAAACAAACAAAATGAACCCATCCGGGAGCCATGATGAACAATCTAATAAACAGTCACACACATAGATCACTCATATTGTATTATAGATCGAGACACGCCCTACCGGCCGATCATGACAATAACAACATAAGAGTTGGTCTTGTATTTTAAGCAAATTAATTAACTATTGCTTTTTTACCCATCTGAAGAATTACGACATGAATAAATGAATGAAGCTAATAATATATGCTGTGATAGTACTCTCTCAAATACTTAAGCGATGATTATTGAATTGAAGGTTGAAAAGTATCTTCTGGGGATTACCTGATGGATAATGCGACTTCAGCAAGCAGAATACACAATAAAGAACAAGGCTTTGTTTATTTTTTTCTTAAAAGCATACCAAACAACATATATTTTTGGGTAGCAATGTGATGGATCATTTTAACTTCAAGTATATGTGTTATACGTATCATAATCATGTGTTATGTTTTTTATTGTTTTGATACCTTGAAATGTTTTGTTTATTAGAAATTGATATGTTTATCAATATTCCACATCCATGTTTACGTTTGGTATATTTCTCCTGATAAATCAAGTTAAGTCAGCTGAATACGAATTACCTGATGAACCAACTTCTATTGAACACGGTTTTATCAATTTGCTATCGGCTGTGAACAAATTTCCTTGGGAAATACATTATGATGGGGATGCTGATATGATTTGTTCAGATGAGGTAGATCATAGTGTATCTAGTGACCGTTCTCTCATTACGATCACAATCAAAAGATGCAATGTCATTCAAACAATCATGTCACAATGGACACTCTCTGAGGAATCTGATTCTTTTAGCAGAAAATTGATCGATATTACTAAACAGGGAATTGTTACGTTGTCATTGAAACCTGATGAGATTGCTAGAGAAGCCATCACATTAGAATTACAGTCGTGCTGCTCCACTATGTACTATGCTACATTTCAATTTACTTCAGGAATACACAGTGCTGATTTACTCAAAAGAGATGATCCAAAATACAAATCAACGATCCAGTACATAGTAACTAGCACTCCCAGAAAGATACCTAATGTGAGATTAATGAATCAAATTGCAGTGAAAGCAACTAGTTCACATAATAAAGCAATTGCATTGAATTTTGGTAGGAGGCATAAGCACACTATATCAACATATACTGAAACAGAATTGGCAGAATTGGAAGATGTCAAGCAGGGAATACTCACAAATTATTTTGGAATACGCAGGAATATTCTAGAAATTGTGGACAGATACACACTGCTATCTCTAGTACCCTTTATTAAGACAGTGAAACAGATTTCCACAATATACAAAGAAGAGCAATTGTTTAATAATCTAACAGAATATAAAGGGTGTGAAGAAATGCCTGAAATATTCAAAACACTTGAAATGGCACCATTTGCAAAAGCAGCGTATTTTGTACAAAAGCATCAATCAGAAAATACTGATTTATCACTGGATCATGAAGGTAGGACTATTATATGTACGATACGCGATTTTCTGAATATTGATCAACAAAGCGTATTAATAGCTCGTACTTCAGGTGATAAACACATTGGATTTATTCTGGTAAAGAAATCACCTGATACAGTGGTTTTATCATTTAAGGGCACTGGTAAAATGGATGAAATAGCGAATGATTTGAACTATCACTACAGTAAGGCATTGTTCGGTGATTTTGTTACACATAAGGGATTTAATGATTATTTGCGTGTTTGGTACAGCACACGTTTTGCAGAAATAGAAGATGTTGTTAAGAACTACAAAAACCTAATTATCACAGGGCACTCATTAGGTGGATCATTGGCTCAACTAAGCTATATGTTGATAAAGACTAAGGGATTGTTGAGTGACATCAATGTTAGTTGTGTAGCATTTAGCCCAGCACCAACAATCAGTTATATTGGCGGTGCATTCAGCAATGATGATAAAATGATATCATGGGTTTATGAAAATGATGTAGTACCACAGGCAAGTAGAGGATCAGCTATATTTTTAAAACTATGTGTTGATATGTTTAGTAGGACAGAGAATGCATCAACCCTACTACTAAAATGCAGAAATATCAGATACAAGTGTTATGCAGAGATAGAACCATTATATCATCCTGGTCAAGTATTTCATATGATTGATAATGATGGTGTTTTTAAGGCAAAATCAATACAACCGGAAGAGTTGATTGAAATCAAGTTACTTCCTAGTTCCATTAGAGATCATAAAATAGGCAATTTCTTATCAACAACAACAAGATTGTGATAGTAAATACGAGAAAGGATTTGGAGTAGTGTTTTCACTTGGTTGTAAAGTCTTTATAAATGGTTTAAGTTCAATTGTTGTGTTGGATAGGTCTTATATGCTTATTGTTAAGATCTATTTATACACCTGAAAAAAGGTAACAGTTAAAAGAAAAAGCTGATTCATCTAGTAGTTGCAGTTAGCAATTACAATGATAAATTTTATTAGGAAGAGGAGACCAATTGAAGAATATTAGTGATTTATATTGGTGCATTTATAGATGTGAATACAATTTTTTAAATTGCAGATGCATTTAAAAGAGCCATCTATGTCTTGAATTACTTTGTGTGTTCCTATTTGATAGTATTCAATTGATTTGAAAGACTTCTTAACAGCTTTAGTGTTATTTGCTTTGCCATAATGCAAGAATAGTTCAAGATTGTCCATTGAGGTATAATAAATTGTGCTTTTTTATAAAAATATTTATGAAATGGTGTATATAAGAAGAAAGCAACGTGTTTTCAACATTTTATTTATAAATATCTTTGAGTAAAACAGGCAGTAACATGCATCAATTCACAAACGTAAAATTGAACATTCCTGTATTGATAAACTGAGTATAAAATGTAACAAAAAGGTATATCACGGTATTTACTATGTGAAGATATATATAGTGACAGAGGAATTGAAGTTATTCTGTATTATAATGTTGTTTAGTCAGGTTATTTGCTGATATATGGTTCAGAACTTGTTAAGTGGCTTTGTACAGGTTATAATGCAAAAATAATGTAATTGTGATTGTTATAGATTACGTAAATATTAAATGAATGAATACAAAATCATACAATGAACATATTTTCTGGAACCTTAATTATAAACAAAAAAAAACATCAGTAACTGATGGATCTAACAGAGTGAATAAACAGATGATAATGTGGTAGATGTATCTACAATAGGGAATCCATATCATCATTTATTGCCATAACCGCAATCGTTTCATTCTGGCCATGTTCTCTGCCTCCTGATATTCTGCTAGTTTTCTACCATATTGTTGATTGTTTCCCTTGTAGATTTTAGCGTATCCGCCTTCAATTAATAATTGATTCAAATCAGTTCCATTAATCAGGTGAATTATACCTATGTCTCTATTGAACCTATCAATTCCAAGAAATTCAACTTTTACGTTCGTGTTGCCGATAATTTTTTCTACGAAATTCTTTGCGTCATACGCCCACCGTTCTGGTTCCTTTCCATTGGTTTCATTCAATTCAGGGGTGTCCATTCCAGCAAATCGTATTTTGATTTCGTCAGTTAAATCCTTCAGGTTCGTCTGATCCTTGTAGAATTTCACACGTATTGTATCCCCATCAATGACTTTAGTTACTAATCCAATACTCGTCATAAACGTATTTATACAGTTGATACTTCTTAAATAGTTTAAAACAGTGATATGATACTTTTTGTTGCAATATAATTATGTCAGCAATTTGGTATAAACGTGTTGTATTTATGATAGTTATATGATAAAGCTTTATCAGCCTGAGGATGTATTTTGATGATCTTATTTCCAACTGTCAAAATATAACGTGTTGTGGTTTGAAACAGCAACACGATTCATTCCCGTCATCATTTATGAAAGCAATAATTTTACCCCATTATTCATGCCTGAGAATTGGACAGAAACATACAGACCAATTAATA